CCCCAATAAAATGATTTAAAAAAAAATTAGTTTCTGAAACCCACAGGGCCAGTTCTACTCTGTCCTATTGGGTTGCTATGAGTCAGAAATGACCTGAAGGCAGTTAATTTGGTTTGGTTTATAATGTCAGGAAATCAAGTCTGGTTGCCAGCTCCTGGAGGGAGTTGCTTTGCAGTCTCAGGCACCAAACAAAGTCTCTTGACCTAGCATCTTACCACGTATTCATCTTCATATCCTTCGTCATCGGTCTCCCCAGTTGTGGGGTCACAGTCCTTCACAGTGAACTTCATCATGCAGCTGAATGTGCAGGCCACTGCAGGAAGAAAGGATGAGTGGTCAGGATGTACCCAGACATTGCAGGAGACAGCGCCTCCAAGCAGACAGCGGGTCTAAATTTATATGGCTGGCTAGAGGTAGAATCCAGCTGCTTGGTTCGCAAACAAGTGCTCTTTCATTATGCCATTGTGTTTCCCAAAGACCGCTACCTTTAACTAACTATCCAACTCAATTGTGATCACGTCTAAGTAGTCTCCAGTACCCAGCAATCAGAAGAAATCTAATAAATAACAGTTTTTACTCTTATTCCCAAGGGAGCAACTACCCCAAAGCTGAGGAAACAGCCTGCTTCCCAGGCTTCGGCTACATGAACAGCGGCAATATGCCAATCAATCCAACTCCTCAGTCGGGGGAGACAAGTTACTTACCTGGTGTTTCGTTTTCCTCACGCATGAAGAGGGGCACCCAAACCCAACTTCCTGCCATCGAGGCCATTCTGGTGAAGCTGTACGTAAATCTTTAGGGAGAGGACACTCTCATCTCTCTAGTAGAGCAGCTGAGGGGTTTGAACTGCCGAGCTTGCTGTCCACAGTCCAATGCTTACCCCACTGTGCCACCAGGCCTCTTTTTTTTTTTTTTTTTCACCAGGGCTTCTTATGAATAGGGATCGTAATCCTTATTCTCATAGGTTATAAGAATTAAATGAGATAATAGATGGAAAGTACTGAGGACGTAGCCATTATTATCTTTTTCTCAGGACTGAAATGTAGGAGTTGAAGCTCTAGTAGCTGTCAGACAGCTGGTGCCCAAGCTGCCCACCCCAGCCTAATCCCAGGGTGGTATCTAAAGGGGAACTTGCCAGCTGTGGGGTCTTCCTTGGGCAGTGCCACCAGTGTGTAACAGGTCCCCGGCTGGTTGTAGGGCAGGCTCCGGGCCGGGACATAACAGAGCACCTCATAGGCCTCAGTGGGCTCCATCTGCACTGTGACGTTCTCCAACGTCTGGTCGTTGAGTGTGTTAATGCAGTCAAACTGGACCAGAGAGGAAGGAAAGAGCTTAGGACAGGCTGCAGGGAAGAGCCAGAAGGGTACACTTCTCACCCCATGGGCCAAGCAGCCTCTATCCCAGTCCCCGTCTCCCAACTAACACTCGAGCAGAGAGGTTCTGGGTCAAAAGGTACAATAGTCTTACCATTTGGTAATATATCTTGTCATCAAGTAGGTCTCCCAACTAGCTCAATGTGGGGTGCCATGACCCATCGGAACTGGGACACCCATGGGGCATGCCCCAACAAGACCAACCCCTCCCTGCTCACCTGAAACACCATGTGGTCAGTGAAGGTATGTTTGGTGCAGCGGATGACGTACTCTGTCTCTGACTCGGTGAGGGCCACAGGCTCAGGCGAGGACTTGAAGAGGGGCCCTAATCCACGGAACTCTGGCACTGCTGCCAATTGCTCTGAAATCCACAGGTCACACAATCAATTAAATTCTTGACTCCCAGACTAACTTATGAAGGGGCCTAATAAATTCTCATGGCCTGGCAATTAAACAGTTTCCCTTTAAAAAGAATACAGGACCAGAGAGGATACCAAAACAGAAATTGACAAGGCAACCTGGACTGGATACAACTGGAATCCCCCAAAAAAGAGACAGTTTCTTGAGGATCCAACTGTAATACATCATCTACCCTGAATGAGTCTGGGCTCCAAGGACTCCCAGGGCTTAGGTGGAGTGGCTGCTCTGATCCGGATTTGATCTGGATCTTAATTTTAGCCCCTCCCTTTCAGGCTGTGGAAACTTAAGCAAATTACTTTCTCTTTGGACCTCTAAATCCTCAGCTATCAAGTGGACCTAATAATCTCTGCCTCTAACTCAACAGTCTATGCGGTCTACCCTTCAGAAGAAGCTCAATAAATTACCATTTTATCCCCGAGCTGAAGAGATGGCGCCTGAGAGTCTCACCCAACATTGTACTCACCCTGGAAGATCTCCTGGCGAGAGGCTGCCACTTTCTCAGGCTGCTTGACTGCTGTGATGGGGGTGCTCTCTGCAGAACAAATACACATGGAGGCTACAGTCAGGAGAAGGCCCATTGGGGATGAGAGCTTGCAACACTCCAGAGGCCACATGAGAAAGAGAACAGGGTGTGGGTGTACATGTGGCTCTGCAGCTCCTAGAGCCAGACCAGACAGAGGAGGACTTCTCCCTTCTCTGGAGAGGGCTAGGGCTTCACAACTCGTGCATACTCTCCAGGGGAGGACAGACCTGAGGGCCCCCGAGAGGAACACGGGCATTACCTGTTCTCTGCTCTGCAATGGGTGTGGTGGCCAAGGGGACAGACTTGAGGTCAAAAGGTTTCTCCGATGGTTCCAGAGTGTACTGCTGTAGAGCCCTCTCCAGACCAGGGATGGACACAGTCAAACCTAGAGACCAGTGGGAGCGAGGTCACAAGTCTGGAAGGCAGCACGACAATACTCTAGACCAAGGTGCTCAAGTCCTCAAATTACGCATCAGGGTTGTAGGACCCTGAGTCACTTAAAATTCTGGCCTCTATTTTCTCATCTACATCCTCTTTCATAGGATTCTTTTCTATTGATGACTAATGTTTCAACCCAGTGGGCTGTTTTCACCCAGATTCGAGTGACCTGCATGACTCTGGGTCCTCTGAGGTTAAAATGATGCCATGATGTCCAGCTGGGAGCAATCTGCCTTGGCTTTCTCTGCCCAGGGATGCCTGTTCTCAAATGAGGAAGGTCACAGCTCCAGCAGGGCTAGGTCAAAGACAGTCAAGGGAAGACTCACCATTTAGGATGTAGCCTGCACTGAAAGCCTTTTGCTTCTGCTCCAAGACTTTGAGATAGAAAGTGGCTCGGTCCCTTACTTCATTGTCATCATCCATCACGCACCTGCAGACGGAACACAAGGTGGTGCCGACGGGGCCCAGCAAGTAGCAGGAGGATTCGGATTCTGCAGGGTTTCATCAGGGGTAGTGAGAAAAGGCAGGTCTCTTAAAGCTCTCAGAACTTAGTCCCTAGATGTGGTATTGCGGCGTCTCTTTAATGAGCTATCAAATTGCACTGAGGGGCCCATAAGACTGGAACTTGGAGGTTATCTTGTTTCCAACAACAAATGACAGAAAAATTGACTTATGACCCAGCAATCCCACTCCTAGGTACACACCCAAGAAAAATGAAAATGTATGCCCACACAAAAACTACAAAAATGGTCATAGCAGCACTGGTCCTAACCACCAAAAAGGAGAAACAACCCACTAATTGATAGATAGATGGGCACAATATAATATGCCATTGCAGTATATCCAGACAATGGAATATGACTTGCCAAAAAAATAAAAATGAGGCACTGATACAAGGATGAACCTTGAAAATATCATTCCAGATGAAAGAAGCCAATCACCAAAGGTCACGTATTGTGTGATTCTATGTATGTGGAATGTTCAAAGGGCAGGGGCAGGAAAGTTGGAGTGGGCGTGGCTGTTGGATAAGGTCCTTCTACCTGTAGTTCCTCATGTGATGCGTTACAAGTTATGGGCACTACGCATGTGGCTATAACCCATCTTGGAGGGCGTTCTCTGTTATGCTGACAGCACGTTTGAGCTGAGACTAAGTCTCTACCTAGTAGAAGGTACGAACCAAATCATAACCTTTGTTTCCTTGGGGGGATGAACTGCTAAAAGGCAAAAACCATCTCCCTATCAAAGCCATCCTCTGTGTATAAGAGTGATCTTGGAGGCACAGAGAACAATCCCAGGACCATTATAAGTGGGGCATGTTTGAGATCTCTGTCTGAAGTGGTGGAGGCCAAGACCAGAGGCACCAGAGGCTGCAGCACAGAGACCATGGGTCACAGGAAAAGAACCAGAGGCCGAGGCAAGGCGGCATGAAACAGCAGAACAGAGCAGCAGCATGGGGCGTGAGACTGAGGGAGAACAGTGGGAGGCTCCTAGGAGACAGAAGCAGAAGCCAAGGGATCTCTCAGGATGAGAGGCTGAGGACTGGAGAGCAACTTGGCTGCTGGCAGAGGAGAGGACCAATGCCTACATCCTGGCTTGTAATAACCTGCTACTGTCTGTAGTACACCCCCTTAATTACGAGCACTGTCTGTGTGGCCACTGCAGCATTTATTGAGCCCAGCATAGATGTAGTGCTGCGGGGGGAACAGTTGGTGTGAGAACAGGTAAACTGAGACGGAGGGTGGAAGTGTGCCTGACCTCTGCCTCGAGGCCCCAGGGAAGACAGAGGAGGGCCGATATGGCCCTCCTTGGTTTACTCCCTGTTCATGGTTACGGGGTTTCTTTTTGGGGGTGATAAAAATATTTTAAATATGCTAATTAAATCTCAAAACTTAAAATAATCATGTTAATTCAAGTTAACAGTCACCTCTAGATTTTACATGACAATTTCCCCCTGGCTTTCCTATATTTGTCTAGTTCCCCCCTGCACCCTTTCTTATTAACCATATATTTTTTCTCTCCCTTTTTCAGGTTTAAAAAAAAAAAGGAAAGGAAAAGCTGCTGGGCTTGGGGGACGCTGTTTCCCCACCAGGGCCTCTGGCAGAGACTCACCTCTCCAACAGCACCAAGATGCTGGGTAGCATCTCTTCATTCTGGGCTCCAAACTTGGCCAGGGCACTCACAGCACCTGTGTGGAGGAGGCAAACACCATTCATCTAAGCGCCCCGACAATTCACCACCCAGCCACTTCTGGTGTTCTGTGCGGCTTCTGGTAGAAGAGTCCTTAAAAACAGTCTGGAGCCACAAGGCCCAAATCTTTTTAGTGCCTCTTGGGTCTCAACTTCCTCATCTGTGTGATGGAACAAAAGAACAAGGGTTCTTGTTCCAGGGTTCTTGCAGCTATTTTTCAGCATTCACTACAAGGCCACAGGAATTGGCAACAGCATCAAGCTTCTCAGCTTCTGAATCCAAGGGGCCACAATTTGCCTTACATTACTATAAATGAGAAAACGATCTAATGCTTGATTGCTGAAGGAAGAAAATCTGCTCAGTGTTAGTATGAGAAAAGTAAATGAAAACTAAAAATTTAAATATGGCCGTACAATGAGTTGCACACTTTTAATGGGTGAATTTTACAGTATGTAAATTAAATCTTAATAAACCTGTTATTAAGTGTTAAACACTAACATAGTGAAACTTAAAGAGAGAAAAACAAACCAAAACAAAAGGTTAGGAACTACCTAACGGGTAAGCTCTAAGGTCATTACCATACTAGTATTAAAAACAAAAAAAAATCTGTGAGACAAGGCCTGGGTGCTTTGTCAAAGGCAAACTAGAAGCAGCCAGATGCAGCCATGGCTCAGACCCACCTGCCCGGACCTCCTCATGCTCCAAAACCACTCGGTTGTAGATGAAGCGGATGTACTTGGAGGGGTTGTTGGTCTTGGGTCCCTCCTGGCCCAGGAGGTGCAGGATGCGTGTGGCCAGCACAGTGAACTCGCAGTCTTCAATGAACTCGCACAGGTGGGACAGTCCTGTCTCCTTGCTCTCCGAGTTCTCCTCAATGATGCTGATGATGCAGTCCACAATGGCACGCTTGTACTCAAAACCACCCTGCGGGGGACGGGGAGAGAGAGAAAGAGTGGGCAAGGGGCCTGCTGTCTCTGGAAATGAGCTATGAGGCCCCGAGTCCAAACAAAGACATGGCTCCTTGCTCCAAGTGTGCTACCAACTCATGAGGCCACCCTGAGTAAGTCCTCAATATCTCCAGACTTCTGCCAACTCTCTGTGTTAAATACAAGGCCTGGACTGAAGGCCAGGGGAGCCCTTCCAGTTCCAATAGAAGATGGCTTACTAGAAACATGTGGGATTCTGTTTTCCTTCCCAACTTTTGAGGTAAGACAAAAGGTAGATCCTAGGTCAAATTAGTGCTCTGCTACCTACAGACTTAATGACAGAGGTGGCAACTCAGACACCAACAGGTGCCAGGCATGCAAACTGGTAGCCTGAGGCTGGCTGGACGACACCCTTGAGGCAACAGAAGAGAGGCCTCTTCTAGAGAGAGAAGCCCTCCAGTTTTCGGTTGCCAGACCTGATGCATCTTTCAAGAGAAACGGATCATCTGTTGAAGTGTTGGCCGTTGTCTTTTTAACTTCCTGCTTTCGAAATGTTGCTGTTGGGTGCTGTCGAGTCAGCTCTGGGTCCCAGTGACCCTCGTACAACGTAGCACCACACTGCCCAGTCCTGTACCGTCCTCACGATTGTTACGCTTCAGACCACTCTTGTCCCCGTGGCGGCAATCCAGTTCCTTGATGGGCTTCCTCGATTTCCCAAGCATGATGTCCTTTTCCTGAGACAGGTCTCTCCCGATAACATGTCTATAGTAAGGGGGACAGTCTCACCATCCTTGCTTCTAAGGAACATTCTAGCTGTACTTCCATCCGGCAGATTTTTTTGTTCTTTTAGCAGTCCCTGGTATCGCTGGAAGAACAAATGCTCCCCGCCAACACCGTAACTCAAATGCGTCCATGCGCTCCAGCCTGCCTTGGCCAGTGTCCAGATTTCATGTGCACACGAGGTGCCTGAAATATCATGGCCTGCGTCAGGCACACCTTAGTCTTCAGAGTCACATCTTTGCTCTCTAACGCCTTAAACAGGTTTTGTGCAGCAGAATTACCCAATCCAACCCATCATTTGATTCCTTGAGTGTTCCTTCCATGAATATTAATGATGGAGCAAGTAAATGAAATCCCTGACTTCAATTTTTCTCCAGTAACCATAATGCTGTCTATTGGTGCAGTTGTAAGGATTTAAGTTTTCTTTACATTGACTTGTAATCATAATGAAGGCTTGATCTTCATTTTGAAAAAATATTTGACACACCATACAATTGTTCAATCATATTAAAAAGAGTTGTGTGCGATCATCACCACAATCAATTTCGGAACATTTCTTCTCTTACTCCTTGTTCTTAGCACCTCCTTTCCCCCATCCTTCCCTGCCACGCTCCTAGACAATGGTCAGTCCAGCTACTGTCTCTCTAGAGCTACCTGTCCTGGATTTCATACACAGAAAATCATACAAAACCCAACCAAGAAGCAAACAATGACTAGACAAAACATATAAAAACCTCAATCAAAAAGAAGCAAAAACATCAAACGTTGAAACAATTTTAAATGGGTCAAAAGGGAGAACAAATGCTAAGATATGACCTTTTAATCAAACCACATCTGCCATAATTGACTTTACAAAGCTGTTTGACAGCAAGGCTATTCACATGCCTTGACTATGAGCAGAGGCGATTCACTGGTGACTTAGTCTACGCAAGAACCCTGCAAATGAATTTTGGGCTTCCACTGGTCATCTCTAGCCTTCTTCAAACTGAGTGTTCACAATTAAAGCTCCAGTACCATTCAGATTTGGGGCTTATTATTTACAATCTTTGGATCACACCAGTGATATGCTTCTCCCATGTGGACTTATTTGATGCCTCACTTAGATGGCTGCTTGTTTGAACATAAGCCTTTAAGACCCCAGACGCCATTCTTTCTGATACCCAAGCAACAGCTGGTTTCTTCACTGCACTTTGCTATAGCGTCCATAGCTTTAGTGGTCTCCTCATGAGAGTTAGCATCACCAGCGGCCTGATTTTAAAGAGGGAGATTAGTATCTGCCAATGAGACCTGTTGTAAGAATTATAAGATTGTGCACACCTTGTAGTGTCTACAAAGTGCCAGGCTGAGGGCGCACCAAGCATTAGTGCACTTCTCCCCAACGTTACAGGCCCTGTACTGCCTCAGTCCAAGGCCACTGTAGGGAAGTGGGGGTGTGGGGATGTCCAAAGTATCTGTTCCTCTCAATTAACGAGTGATGTTGTCACATCTGAGAAAGCCTGAGAAGTGATTTACTAATCAGTGTTAGGAACAGAACAGAAACAATGTCCTATCATTACTCTCAGTTTCACAAGAAACCACCCTTAGAGCACTTGGAATGGTCCAGAATGTTTATGTACTTACTACACTACACCATCAAAGACAGTCATTTCCTCACCTCTGCAGAAGCACAACCTGAGGGCATCCACTGCACCTTTAAAGCCAAGGTGCTGAATCATTATACTTATTATGGTTATTACTACCAGGTGGTGCCTGTGTGCACCATCCATCCCAGGAAAGGACGTGGGCACCAGGAATCCACCAGACTGGTTCTCTAGGTGCACCCAGGGAGAGCATGGAGCCTGCTGCCAAGTCCCTCCCTCTCTCAGGAGATGCTCCAGACCCCAACATCCTCTCCTTACCTCCTCCCGCAACATGGTGAACAGGAAGTTCATGAGGACGGCGTGCTTGCGAGGATACTTCTGACACAAGGCGCTGATGGCCTGGACAACCACCACCTGAGTCAGACAGACAGACAGACATATGTGAGCAGGAGGCCTTCTGCCACCAGGCCAGTTACTTGAGTCACTCCATTTACTAAGTGCCACCTGAGTCCTGCTTTATCCTACAACGAGGACGCAAGAGTACGTCCCTCTCCGCCCTCATGGAACACACAAGCCTGGCTCACTCGGTAGGGTGGCGTGCAGAGCAGTCCCAGCAGCCCCAAATATGGACTCTGGGTACCCAAACGGTCTTCCGACTTAGACTTCAAGGTAAGTCTGAAAGCTTCGTTCCATTCCACTTTCCTTGATTATTTTCCTACCCGTTGCCCTTGCTGACTCCTCTTTCATCAAGCCTGCCTCCTTCGATACTCCGTCATTGGGCCTCTTCTCGTCTCCAATAGCTTCAACCATCTTGTTTGCCAATTTCTTGTCTGAGCTCGAAACCCAGTAGGTTCAAATGTCTAGCTAACAACTTCACGGGGTGGCCATACCCCAAAAGCCAAGCCCATTGTCACTGTGTGCACAGAGACCTGAGGGGAAGGGCGGAAGTGTTCCGCAGGGTTTCCAAGGCTGCAAATATAGTTTTTGTACAGCTCTTAAAACATTTCATACACCAGTGGCGTGAGTGGCAAAACAGGGAGGGTAAAGGGAGAATGGGTAGGAAAGAGGGAACCGATTACATAGAACTGTGTGTGACCTCCTCCCTGGGGGACACACAACCGAAAAGTGGATGAAGGGAGACGTCGGACAGGGCAAGATATGACAAAATACCCAT